TCAACTCCCCATCTTTATTATCGAGTTCAATCGTTTGGTTCATTCATTCATTCGGGTTTGTTTTATGCATGATGAAAAATGTTTCAACAACGCTCCTGCCTCACACACACACACACACACACACACATACACTCACACCTATGGTTTTGTTGTTGAGAAATAGCATCGCCAAAGTGAACGACAAATACACACCCAATGGCTACAGCGAAAATACGCGTTCTAAACGAAGTAACAACAACAATGACGAAAAATTCTAATCTATTTCCGTATTTCAAGTCAAACTTTGTATAATCTTGACGTGGTCGTGCTGAAATGAGGCAGACCCACCTAACTTCCCCGATTCGCATTGCTCGTGCATGGATTTGGGAGCACACAATATTGAATAAATTGAATTGACCAGTCGCATCGTACGTGTGAGCAAATGTGATTGAGAGGCTCTATAAGTGTGTATGTCAGTCAGTCGATACGTTCCGCTACGTTTAAATATGGCATTTAATTTCCTTTAACCTTGAGTGTTATTTTCATGCAGTTTCGTCTCTTCATATAGAGAGATTGATATAGAATATATATATAGATTTGTGTGTGTTATTTGTGACCGAATTTTCGGTGCCAATGTCGACCGATCTCTCTCTCTCTTTCTCTTTCTCTTTCTCTTTCTCTCTCTCTCTATCTCTATCTATCTATCTCGAATGGCTATCGACTATGCTCGATTGCGACGTTTGAATAGTCAAATGACGCCAATCGCATGCATGTCGTGTTCAAACGTCGAACGAATTTATGGTGGCTCAAGCCATTTTCCCATCTGCGTGTTACAGTTTGAGAAATGCATCCAAAATGGATTTAAAGTGAATCTTTAATTTTCCTTCAAATTCATCTTGATTTCTTTCCATTCCCGAAATATTGATCCATTTGGTTCGTTTTTACGATTCTTATTATTTATGGGATGGCTATGTGCCGCTTTTCTTTCGAATGGATTTTACTTTGTAACAATTGTCAATTCAGATGCTGCACGGACTAGCAAGCGGGATAGAGATTGAGTGAGTATGTGGTAGAGTGATTGTGTGTTAGGAAAAAAGAAAATGCCGTACCGATTTCAAACGTTCATGCAGCTTTCTGATAAGAAACACCCCATGCCTGAAAAACAACCATGAATAGGAATGAGAAATATATATATATTTTGTTTCGTGTCAAATAAACTGAATGATTAAGAGTAAGAGACCGTCCGATCAACCATTTAACCATGTTTCTTTTGTTTGTGTGTGCCCATTGTTCTTTCGATGCTAGTAAGTTTCAGGCGCACATGGGGATTTGATTTGATTGCACTCTGATACACACACACATACACGTTGGACGAATGATTGAAGAGCCAAACACTCACACACCGGATGTATAATCGTCTGTAAAAAGTTTGCTATTGTTCAGTAAATTATTCGGATATTAGTCCATAAGTCTTTTTGGGTAAAAGTCTTTGTTGTGGTGCTGCTGACTCTATTTTTTGTTTTCTTTAAATGCTCTCTTTCAATCTCTTGCTCGTCATAACTCGACATCACGGGAGCTTTTGCTATCAATATTTTTCTACTATGTATATTCACATAAACGTGTTGCCTAATGCATACCGGCAGCACATGAGCTCCCACAATACCTTCAGTCAACTGTGTACTCTACCCTTTTATATCATCACAACAATCTTAAGAGACATTTTTTCTCTACTCTTTTATATCTGCTCGTTTAAGACACTCGCTTTGTGTTTCATTGAGAAAGACGTTCTTCTTTTTCCCCATTTCTTTTCTTGTCTTCGCTTGTGCAATGCATGACACTTTCATTCCCTTTGGATTTGTTTCGTTATAGGATTTTCTCAAACTATATGTGTGTTTCACTAGTAGTTTCAAGATAAAACTTAATACATACACATAGCGATACAGGGATATTCCGAAATAATTACAAAATATCTTAATTTTTTCATGTACATGCGTATTTAAACTTCTCTTGTATGGGATGTGTGGTAGCGCTCAACCTCTTCACCATATTGCCACTGCGGACTTTCTTTTTCTTGCTGTTGCTGTCGTCGTCGTCGTTATTGTTGCTGTTGCTGTGTGTAGCGAGAGATTTGCTTTTGAAATCCTTGGCTACAATGCGCTTTGTGTGTTTTGCTTTTACCCATTCGACCGCAGTCAAAGTTTAGCATAGTTCATTTTTTCCATTTCTCGTTTCTTTCATTTTGCTTTTGGCGTTTATTTACGGTAAATAGAACTTGTGCCTAATGGGGATGGGATAATACAACCGAATGAACACGCACACAAGGAAAAGAGATCGAGTGAAAAAAACAACAGCAGCAAAAAAAAACACGTATTGGCCGTATAACATCATACGCAGTGATTCTTCATCATGTTCAACATCTTCGCTATATTATTGTTCTAACTGACGCTGATGGTTTGCAGCTTCGCCTGCTTTGCTGTTACTCGATTATTTCGTCAACCATTTCGCTTCAAATTAAATTCAAAGCTTTCAATACGGACAAATAAATTGGGTTACGTAAAGTGTGTGTGCTTGCTCGGTGACTAAAAGTATGCGTGTGCGAAGTACGAAGCGCGCGCGGTCATGTAACTATACTCTGTTTTGGGCAATATGTGCACATATATGGATTTCGATGTTTGTTTTATGCATGGAAAACTTGGTATTCATCCCCACTCTCTTGTTCACCTCTTTCTCTCCACGACATAAGCAACTCATCTCGAATGTAGGCAAAGCCCACTCGGAGATCCTTGAATGCGCTCGATTTATCCGAACAATTTGACAATTTCTTGAAATGATAACATTGCGATGATTTCAACTTGGCACGTCCAAAATAGGCGGCAAACGTGAATGAGAGAGAAAGAGAGAGAGTGAGAGAGAGAGAGAGAGAAAGATCAAGAATGGGGGCAAACAAAGGTGGTTGCAGACGGAACACTGAGAGTGTGGCAAAGTCGAGTCTTCTATTTAGTTGTGGTTCAGTTGTATGCATCACACTTTGCCTATTTGCCATTGTATAACATCCTAATGTGCTGCTTCACTCTCCATATTAATAGGCGTAACTGCAGCATAAGTGCATGACAACGGAGAGACAAACGCTTTCTCGTTCATTAAATATTTCCCATATGACACCTTCCAGAAAGTGACGACCACTGCAACGCAGCGACATAAGAATCATGGCCCATAATTCTTTTTTTCTCCGTCTCTCTCTCTCTCTCTCTCTCTCTCTCTCTCTCTCTCTTCTTGTTCTCTTTTATTCATATTCTAACAAGCATATTTTGACCTTTTTAATAGCATACAATTACATTAACAATGCTAATCGTATGCACAGCATACATGCAACGCATGTGATTTGGCTTTGTTTCATTGTCCACCTATTGTGGTGTACATTGTACAACGCATACACATACGCAGGTTAATTCTATTTTTCCACGTTGAGCCATGTTATCCGAAAATTGTTTTGTTTGGCATTGGTGCTGCAGCAACGGCAGCGGGTCGAAGCATTGAGCCAAACGAAACTATCACATTGATAAAAAAAACACTTTGTGTTGTAAATGGACGCAAATAAATTTGCAAATCTAAAGTCATTTATTTGCGAGCACAAGCTTACACAAAAACTAAACAGCAGCGGTAGCAGCAGTACAACTATCGGTTGACAGACGATAACCGTAACCATAATTTAAATTAGCTTGCTCTATCGAAATGAATTTAGAACGCCATTGGGAGTAATTAATCACGACAATGATAACATCAAATAAGCAGATAAACCAGATGAGAAGTTTATGAGGGATGATGGTGTGTGGTGAGAGTGATCAAGCGGCTGTGTGCGTACGTCTGTGTGTGTGTGTTGTTGTTGTTGAATGCAAGAGTTTTGAGTGCGTGTGCTCGAGTGATTGGCTGGATTGAACCGAAGAACACCGCAATAAAATCATAATCCCATCCAATCAAATGGTGTTATATGGTGACTTAGCAATTGTACAAACTTTAGTTACATCACTGTTAATTCGTGCGATGGCCAAAACTCAACTTAAATGGCTACAAATCATTGTTTCTTCTTCTTCTTCTTCTTCTTCTTCTTCTTCTTCTTCTTTTTACAATTTTATTATGCACCCAAGCACATTTTTCAATTACACTTTTGCAAAAGTTTGTTACGCTTTTAAGTACAAAGTATTCTGCTGTTAGCTCGTATAGATGCCCATGTGTTCTATCCCCCCAAAGAGTGTTGGCTTTAGTTTTAATTTTAATTTCATTTCGCTGTTTTTTCCCTTCTTCTTCTTTTTTCATTCAAAAACCATAATATGCAAATAGATAAATAGATGTAAGGCATGAATTGAAATACAAATGAGATGAAAAGTAGAGGTAGCATGATTTTTCTCACAACCAAAACTGGTCATTTTTAACATTAAATATACGAATAGCCACTTTGCATCATATCAACCCATTTCGGGTGTTGATCCATTTTTAAATGCATGAACTAGTTCGTATACATACACATATAAATATATCTCTATCTTATTCTCGTTATCTCGATTTTTTCTTTGAAATAAATTCATAAGCGTATCGAAATTATTGATTGTAGCATTAAAGATATACACTCTAAACTTAAGCAAACATACATATGCAAATTTGTAGAATTGATTAAATGTTAGTTTTTGTCAAGAATTTACAAGTGCAACATCAATATTAAAAATACCACTAAAACAACCCGAAAGTTGAAACCATCCGCTTATTATCAGATTTTGAGCAATTGTAGAGCACCGTCCATAAATGACGGCAAAATCAGCTGTAAATAGCCGTAAGTGATTTCGACATATTGTGAAATGTTGCAACATCATACCAATTAGTACTGAATTTTGCCGTTAATTATGGACGGCACTCTACAAATTTTCAAAACATATTTTGTATGTATTCAATACAAGATTATACACGGGTGGTTGAAACCGAAACAGGTGGACCTAATCGAAAAAATCACTTTATAATTATTAATCAAGGTTGATTTGCGTCACATGGATGAGGAAGTGGGCTCGAATATCGTTGATTTTGGCGTTGATCTATCTGAATTCTATATGTCAGTTGAATGGGATATTTTAGAAGTTCCAGGTAAAAATTTTCGAAATTCGTGGCCTGTTGTCAAATATCTGGAATAACTGACCTTCTTTCTCTCTTTCTCTATTCAATATTGATCTAGCTGTGCGGTAAGCTATTTCTGGTGGACTTAAATATATGTTTTGTGTTGCGTTGTGTGTTGGATTGGGTATGGATTGTGTTCGTGTATGTACGCAACGATGAATCGCATTCATTTTTCGAACACAGCGCAAATGTATTTTAATCATATTTTGAGGTACAATTAAATTTAAAGGCCGTTAGTTGTTTGCTGCACTATCTTTATTTGCAATAATTAAGGGATTGCCTCGATGCCATATGCAGGTCACTATAATGTCAAGTACAATTGGTCACATTTTCGCTCATTCTCTCTCTCCCATCTCTCATGGCATATGAGATGTTTCGGTACGGTGCTATCCAAAAGCTAATCCTTTCCGTACATACACACTCACCCACTCATAACGAGCATAACTCTATAGAGTGCCGGTTATGATGGCGGAGATCCAATGATGGGACTTTCTGTTCCGTTTAGCCTCTCTCTATATCTATCTGTATTCGAATAAAATCTAGTAACATGCAACAATGCAATTGATGTCATGGAATCAGAAGCCGTCATCTAACTACCGCTATTTAGTGAACAATAGCATCAAACAACGGCCAGGATGACGACGACGATGACAAAACAAAAAAATATATATACAAACATACATACAAACAAGAAGGTAGGATAGCAAAAAATTGTACACACAACATCCAAACAATGCAAAAGCACATGGGCAAATAAGCATTTGGCTAGGATATGGTAAAAAATGTAAATTTCTCATGCCAGAGAGTCTTTTGATGTTTACAGTTGGGTAGAGAGAGAGAGAGAGAGAGAGAGAGAGAGAGAGAGAGAGAGAGAGAGAGAGAGAGAGAGAGAGAGA